CCTGCTAGCAAGAAGAAATCTTTTGTTTTCTGTTCTCTGTTTTATGAGTTTTTTTTCCCCCAAAACTAAAGATTTTTTTTTTTTAGCTCTTACTTTTGGAGAAAGATCTGTTTCTAAAAGTGTAAAGACAAAACAGAGGAGAATAGGAAATTGAAATGAGATGATTCAGAAAAAACCTCTTTTCCTTAAAAATACAGCCTTAGACTATGTGCCCCTAACGGCCTTCTCAAAAAAATAAAAAATGTAGTTCAGTGAGAATAGTTAGGAAATGTTCATTGAATTGTCGCTCTTACTTTTGGAGAAAGATCTGTTTCTAAAAGTGTAAAGACAAAACAGAGGAGAATAGGAAATTGAAATGAGATGATTCAGAAAAAACCTCTTTTCCTTAAAAATACAGCCTTAGACTATGTGCCCCTAACGGCCTTCTCAAAAAAATAAAAAATGTAGTTCAGTGAGAATAGTTAGGAAATGTTCATTGAATTGTCACAAATATTTATATAAAATATAGTACAGTCTTCCTGAATTTAATTGCATTTTAGGAGGAAAAGGAAAATCTAACAGAAGTCCTAAGCGGTTGTTGAAATGTTCCACAGTAGAGTGCAGGCCTCTGCTGAGAAATGAAAGTTATATTGCGTGCTACCTTTTCATCTGGTGCATGTCTTTGCCAGCTAGGAAGACATGTCAGATGCCATTATTCTGCAACTTTTACTCTCTCTCTCGGTTGCTAACCTCCTGTTGACAGTAATCAGAACTTGATGGAGGGGCCTGCACAGGTGCTAGATGATAGTCGGTGTTAGTGTGATATAGTGGGTGACAGTTTTACTATTACATCCTGTAGGATGATACATCATCAAATAATATTTCAGATAATCCCTAGTATTTCAGCAGAAACATAATAATTACTCATCTAATAAGATTTCCAGATGGCACAGTGGGTGTAGTATGAACTAAAAATAAGGGAAGAGTAGCCAAGACAGTGAGGCCAGGACAAATGTGAAATAAAGATGGTATGCAGGGATTGCGCAGAAGTGTAAAATGCTTTCAAAACTAGGATCCCTAAGAGAGATCATAGAGAAAAAAAATAAAGAAAAAGAGAACCATTTTTTGTGTTAAAGGATGTTTTGATAAGGTGGAAAGATGAAGTGCTTTCCTCATAAGGTTTGTCTCTAAAGGACAAGAATTGCAGGGAAGTTAGATTTTTTGTTGCTGTTATTTTTGAATTTCTAGATGGGGTACCCAATCATAGAAATGAAGCCTTGAAGGCAACACTTGATGATTAGTATATGAATATTGAAATATACTTTTTTATTGTTTTCAAATTGTTGGTTTGCCAAAGAGTAAAGCTCAGAAAATTGATTACCA